ATTGTACAAATTTACTATTTTTGCAGACGGTCAGAAAGAATAATATTGAATATTTGCACATAATCATCTATACTATACTGGTTGTCACAGAGCTGAGTAGTTCCACACAAGGAAATCGGATAAAACTGTATACAGGATGTATCATTGAAAAGGCGGAAAGAGGTTAATAGTAAATACACGTAGCCAGAGCTATTTTGATTATTCTATACACAATTCACCGACAGTGGTGTCCAATTCATAGCCGCCACATACAAGGTGACCCGGAACCAATTTTACCCCCTGTATCTTCGTTGCTATTTGGAATGGATTTTTCAAATTCGTTACATCGATTTGATTGCATGAGTGCATATGACACTTTTAGTTTGCCTGGAAGTGCAGCAATTTCTTTTATTTCAAAGACAAAGTTTTTTATTTCTAGAAATAACGATCTAGTATACAATTAGCTTTTAAATGATATATCACAATCATACTTGCAATTCGAAATCTCGTCATATAATTGAGATTCTACAAAAAAATGCTTTTTGTATGCCCCTCGTATATGGAAAAATAGCATGTGAGTAGTACGATAGGAGACAGCAGGGTTATGGAATAGCTGATTTTTTTGTTGGAAACGCCTATTTGTACCGAATGGACAGCTAATATGTGTCAATCACAAGGTTTTTGCTGTCACTAATTATTATTGTCCTTTCCATTCTATTAGTCACAATTAGGATTCTTAGTCAGGGTTACCACTGATAGTTATTGTAGCAGATTGATGGTATTTGTAGCAGATTAATGATATTTGTATCAAACGAACAAATGAGTTACAGGATGTAACTCATTTGATTGCCAACGTCATCAATTGTCATTGAAAACTGAAAAGTTTCAAGACATATCATACGACTTCGCTATTGAAATAATCTCTTTTCATGTTGAAAACGAGAGCAGAATCGGTCCCGAAACGTCCAAAGATAAGTGAAAATTTTATATTTTTTCTATATACCTTTATTACTCTTCTCCAAAATTTTTTCAATACAAATTTTCAATGACAAGATAGTGAATTTTTCTTTTAGGCTCTCTGATAGGAAAATTCTTAGAACGCAGTGACATTTTAGGGCAAATCATCTGATTCGTCCTTACTACACGTATATTGAAATAATATTCATATTTTTATTTTATAGAAACGAGGAGAGAAAATCCCAAAAAATTTGGAATGATAAGAATTCATTTTGACACTCTGTATCTCAGAAACGAAGAACTTTCGGACATACCGGGTGGCTACGGAAGTATTGCCTACGGAATATCTCAGTTATTGTATGAAGTAGGTTTGTGAAATTTGGAGCGTCGATATAATGACATAAGAGCTAGAATTTGAGCATATTGACATGTCGAAGTTAACTTCCGGTCTGACCGGAAGTAACATCAACTTTCTTATTTTAAATGGAAACCCTATTTTTTTTTTCGCTTTATTCAGCATTCAATTCCCTTTCTAATGACATATCACAAGTTGGTATCTAACCAGAAACTAGATCAGAAAAAAATTATTATTGAAATTCACCGAGTAGGCCGTGGAAGCAAAATGAAAGCCAAAAATTGAAAAGTTGACTATGGAAACCATACGTCACTTGATAACAGTTGCTACTACTGTGATATTTTATTTTCATTCGTCGGCGTTATAAAAAGCCACCAAAAAAAATATTGGAAAAATTGGGAAAAAAACAATACTCTGTAGGTCCATAACTTGAATAGGAACATACAACTTTTTCTTGCCTGTAGTATTCAGCATAACCATTCCTTTCTAATGATATAATAGAAAGTCATTTTTTGGCTTTCATTTTGCTTCCACGGCCTACTCGGTGAATATCAATAATAATTTTTTTCTGATCTAGTTTCTGGTTAGATACCAACTTGTTATATGTCATTAGAAAGGAAATTGAATGCTGAATAAAGCGGAAAGAAAAAAAAATAGGGTTTCCATTTAAAATAAGAAAGATGATGTTACTTCCGGTCAGACCGGAAGTTAACTTCGACATGTCAATATGCTCAAATTCTAGCTCTTATGTCATTATATCGACGCTCCAAATTTCACAAACCTACTTCATACAATAACTGAGATATTCCGTAGGCAATACTTCCGTAGCCACCCGGTATATTCATTCGAACTACTCTTCTCATTTTGACGTCAGCAACATGCTCCTGAATTTTCTACACGTACTTGAGAACGATCCTGTATAATTTGAAAAAAATTTAATACCAACCTTCTCTCCCTATTCTCTCTTGATACGCACGATTTTCTTCGAATATAATACGGAATTCCGTTCATGTGCCCCACGAGGAGAAACATAGACAAGAAGTGGGAATCGCGTTTATTCACTTCTCACGAGTTTCATTAACCCATTTACGCCTACCGTCCTTTTGAAAGGACTTCAAAACGAAACCTGTATTTTTCTGATTCAGCTGGCGGTTTGAAGATATCGCATTATACTATGTTGACATCTTAAACAAGGTTAATCGCGATCGTTAGGATCTTGTCAAGTTTTGGATCGATAGTGACGGTTTTTCAATCATGCCCCAATTGAAGAGAATCACAGCCTTGATGAGGCTATGATACCGTATTTTTCGGCCTAACTTAATAATTAGTTCGTAGAAGTTTCAAGTATTTTGCTGAGCATTTTGTATGATATAATATAAACATTTTATTGAATCAGGAACAGCGAGATCGAAAATGTTTTTATAATTTTTTCTCTACTTATGGGACCTTCTATCAAACGTTTTTGAAAAAAAAAAATATACAAAATCGGAAAAAGTTGTTTCAGGGTCATATGGGTAGTATTCCAATATCGAATACTTTCATGAAAAGTAGCTGAAGAACATTTCATTCATGTAGTTTCCACATAATATGTAATCATTTTCTATTTCAGTGTGGATCTTTATCATGATCTGATGACCACTGTAGCTTCACTTCTTCTGGGCATTATCCTGTATAAATTCCGAATCTTTATAACGATCAACACATTCTAACGATCACTAATACTGTACAAATGAGAATTCCAAAAGCCTCTAATGACGTGTATTCGGCTATCAATTATATTTCCTGATGGAAGTTCAAGGCGACACAAATTTCAATCTGTTAATGAGGTGCGGTTTATAGGTGGAAAGCAGGATAATAAAATCAATGAAAACATGGTGAATATCAATAATGGTGAGGATGTATTCATGCATATGGTGTTAAGTAATTGCTCACTAATAATAATTCTACAATCGCATAAACGCATGAATGGCACCGAACAATAGATCAAACCAGCCTTTAACCTTTTTTCTGGATAGTTAAAATATTTAGACTTTTTATTTTTCATGGGATCTCACTATAAATCTTGGTTCCAATAAAATTAGAATGTTGTTCCAAAATTTTAAGTTTGTTTTTCAAGTCGCACATTGTTGATTTTGTCTCTTGTATCATAACTATGATTTTATTCGTTTTTGCTGGATACTTTTTAACGAACATCACTGACGCTTTATAGAATAATTGTCTAACATTTAAAATGTTATCTCCTATAAATAGTTAAGCTGATATTTAATCAAATGATTTATGGAAAAATTTTTTTCAAATACAGAATTGAAGTGAAATATTTGATTACTTCAAAAAGTTTCCATCGAAACAATGAAGATGCCTACAAAAAGATGCCTGCAAACACAGGTGTATTACCAGCTAGGATATCACATCCATAATTTTCTGATTTTATTTTAGTGTGATAACTTGTAAATATTGAATCATCTTTTTTCCTGTCACAGAGATAAATAGTGAATTATACACGGGAAAATATCAGATGTTAGCTAACCTCGAGCTAAAATCTAATAATTTTTTCCCTTGCATAATAAATAACTATTTTTTTCTGCAATCGACACAAACCATTTTAATATCAAAATTAGCTCTCGAATTGACGTTTCTATTACTGACACAAAAATAGGTATGTTGCTAGGCAACACATTTAGTTCCTAAGAGCTAAAGTTGACCTTCAGCTCCTAGAAACTAAAGTAGAACTTTAGCTCCTAGGAACTGAAAAGGATGTACGTGAGATCATCAAGAATAAACAACATTGTCACGATTGGTTATTTGGGTTGGAACGCATACCTGCATAGATTCCGATTTCGACTGATTTGGCATTTCATACCCTTGCTGGAGATATAAATACACCTTATTATAGTCAAGTATTTTTGTTTTGATCAGGAAAGCCTTCAAGATTCACATAGTTGCTTGATCACTATTTCATTTGTTATTGTCACGATAGATATCTTGTTTCTGAATAATCACGGCCAGCAATAGTTTTTTTTTCTCAAACAGCGATACTGTTAAACTTCATTTGAATATCAAGCCAAACACAGTGGAATATGAGGAGAAATTAATAATCGCTATTATTATTGTTGATATGCTCAATAACCTAACATTTTCCACGTCTTGTTCCTATACCTGGCACTGGCGTGGTATTTGTTATTAGGGCTGACACCGGGTCCGAATGAATTCATCGATCCAATAGAATACACAAATAAGTCACTTTGTTGTTGTATTTATATTGGAACTACAATTCGAACATCCTTGATAATCTGAAAAACCTGATCTGTAAATGTAGGTAGAACATTCTCACCACACGGATAATTTGTTGCATTGCATAAATATGGGACGGCATCCACGTTTCGGGTAGTATTGAATTCGTGCCCGTGTAGTCTCTGAATACATGATGCATGTCAACACGGATTGTAACAAAGTAAACTAGTCTGAGGTAGGGTCCCTTGATGGAAATTGACGTTAAAGTCATGACGTCAATTTCCATCAAGGGACCCTAGTCTGAGGTCTTGCTTCTATCTATTCACTCATTTTATTATAATTATTTGTCAAATGAGTCACATTGGTGGTAACTCCACTTATATTCATTTTAGTTCACTCTTTCGATTGATTCTCTGCATTTTTTGCTTGTCAAACAAAGTGTCACTTTTGATCCTGATAAAACAATCTTCTATTTCAGCGTGGCAAAGAAAAGCTGAACACCCTGGCCATCTCCGTGATGAACATGTGGCCGGGGGTGCGACTGCTGGTCACGGAGGGGTGGGACGAAGAGGGGTACCACACGCCCGAGTCGCTGCACTACGAGGGTCGCGCCGTCGACGTCACCACGTCGGACAGGGATCGGGCCAAGTACGGCATGCTGGCACGGCTAGCCGTCGAGGCGGGCTTTGACTGGGTGTACTACGAGAGCCGAGCGCACATCCACTGCTCCGTCAAACTAGGTGAGATTTATTTACGACATACACGCCAAATACCTTTTTCCACTATCAAGGTTTGTTCATGCTTGTACGAATTGGACAAAATATGAAATTCCTAACAGAATTCGACGTTCATACACATGCGACAAAATTTGCTGGAGATTAGGGTTCTGTTATCATATACAGAGTGTTAGTGAATAAGTGTGATGAACTTCAGGGGGCGATACCTTGTGATATTTTAGGAAATAAAGTTCATATGAAAATGTGTCTTCGTTTTTGATATTTTGGATGTTGAAGTTGAAAGTATTAATTGTTCTTATTTATAACGCCCCTGTATAACCCTAATAACACACTTATGTCCCATGAATATCCTTAGGACGTTCGAATTTGGTACCGTGGACGTCCATTGGACGTCTGTGGGACGCACAAATGTCCCACTTGAGGACCAACTAGGGACGTCCTTGAGGGATGTCCCTGGGACAACTATCGAATACCTATATCCTACAGTATTCGTCATGGACATCCTTAGGACATCCAAAGGAAAACCTATCAGAAACGCTGAGGGATATTAATTGGATGTCCATAGGATGTCCTAGGGACGTACGAATTATTCTTGAATTTGAATCTTTCTGGGTCCCTCTAGGACCAGATATTCGCATAACTGGTTAGGACATCCAGTTGAGTTGATGGTCCGTAGAAGATCCCCAAATAAATTTCCCCGGATGTCCAATGGACTCACGTGAAGGACATTGACGAGGAGTACTTATAGCCTACGAGCAATCATTCATCGGCGAGGTGTAAGTTAACGTCCTCGCAGGGACAACATATCGAAAGTACCGACTGGGACGTCCATAGGACGTTATTTCTAGGACATTGGAAGAGTACAGTTCATGTACCTAAGGGACATTCAAAGGATGTTCCTAAGGGACATTTCGATTGTTACACGATCCTGGAAATATTAAGGGCGTCTGTGCAGAGATATTTGAAGGAATGTATCATCAGGAACATTTCATGGTTGTTTAGAAGAGACATTATATAAGATCTGAAGTCATGCCAGAATATGTACTACTCGAGACATCCGATGGATGTCCCTAAAGGAACGTTTAAAATCATATCCCATCAGGGACATGCCAAGGACGTCCTTGCATGGACATTCTACAATATGTACCACGTGGGACGTCTGAGGAATGCTATTTCTGGGACATTTGAAATGATGTACCAGCTGGGACATTCCGTGGACGTCCTTGCTCGGACATTGCATGAGATGTACGGGATGAGACGTCCCAAGGACACTTATTTTTGGTTCGGGACATTCGGACGTGATTTGTACCAAATAAGGACGTCACTGGGTTGTTGTGTGCTATTAGAGAAACTTGGCCATGGTTGGAGACTGGAAAAGTCCCAAAATTTCGAAATGATTTTTATCGAGGTTATTGAGTATTCTCAATGAATGTTTAGAGAGCACCTACATTAAAATTTGGAGTCAAATAGAAATTTGTATTGTTCCCTCAAATATTTAGCAAAACACAAGAGAAACACAGAGGATGAGAAAGTTGACATTCCAATTGTTGAATCTGGTAAAAATATAGAAGTCAGAAAAACCAGCGGCGTACAATAATATTAACCGTATACAGTGTGTCCCACTTACCATGCTCATTATGGGTATCTTTTTGACGGTGAGAGATACGAAGTCGGTTAAATGACACCAAATGTGGAGTTTGTCAAGGCCAACTATAATGTGAAAAAATATTTTGATAAAATCTATTCGTTTTTGTTTTATACGCAAAAAACAGATTTCGATCATTTTCATGTCTCCTCCGTAACTTCTTTATTTATGAAAATATTCTAATAGCAATTTCACATTCTCATGGCAGTTTTTCAAAGTGATTTCGAGAAAAATATGGAATTCATACCAACTCTTCTAGAATTTGAGATATCAGCACCAACTTTAGTTTTTCAAATATAGGTGGTCCGATTCCATTCAAAATTGGTAAGTGGGGGTTTTTGAGGTCGGAGATCATGATTTTTTTGTTAAAATTTATAAATTCAGGGTGGCGGCTTCCAAATAATTTTTTGTTTTTGTATAAATGACGATAACTCCGTTGTTATCAACACAAAACTATCACTGCGACATATCATCTGAAAGAGAAAAAAAAGTTATTTGTAACTAAGTCATAGTGTGCTATGACCTATATTTGAAAAACTAAAGTTGGTGCTGATATCTCAAATTCTAGAAGAGTTGGTATGAATTTCATATTTTTCTCGAAATCACTTTGAAAAACTGCCATAAGAATGTGAAATTGCTATCAGAATATTTCCAATAATGAAGAAGTTACGGAGAAGACATGAAAATGATCAGAATCTGTTTTTTGCGTATAAAACAAAAACGAATAGATTTTATCAAAGTATTTTTTCACATAATAGTTGGCCTTGACAAACTCCACATTTGGTGTCATTTAACTCTTTGAGTGGCGGTGGTACACGCGATGTACCTCCTAAATTGAACTCATCCAGCGGCGGTGGTACAAAAAATGTACCACGCACCCAAACTATTTTAACTTGAGTATTAGTGGTTTTATTCCTGAACCACTAGGACAGCGACATCTAAGGAACACCAGCGTTAGGTGAATCGAAGGGGCCTGTCGATTTTATCGTGCACACTGTTGCTGTGGTCATTCATCGTATTGTTTTGATGGAATAAGTGTTGTTGAGCATTGTGGAGGTTAATTACGTACAAATTGTCCATATTATTATAATTATCGGTATAATCACTTGGATTGGTAAGCATAATTGTACTTATACTAATTTATTTCGTTTATAGTTGATGGAAAACGAATTTTCTTGGTGGTATGTTATACGTACCACCGCTCCATATGTATTGTTCCTATATCATTCTGTATTTTCAGAGTTATGTCTGGATTGCAAGATGAGTTGCCTTTTCGATTGGTAGATATGTCTATTGAACAATTACAAAATGAGTTGGAACACTTCGATGATATTGTGGAACAGATACCATTGGGATCAGAATCTGAAGGTGACGATTCAGATTCTGAGACAGCTACCGAGAATGTAGAAGCGGAAGTCAGGGAAATTTTCATTTCTGAAAGTGAAGAGTCTGAATCCGATCAGCCACTAGCAGTGTTGAGGAACTCCATTATCCGTAATGCTTCCATCATATCTAATGAGAATATCAATCGAGTTTATGATCCACCAACATGGTCAAATGCTTCCAAACCGATAGCACCACCAATATTCACTCATCAGTCCGGCGTCCCAGATTTCATCAGGAATATGAATGAACCAACGCCTTATAAAATTTTTCAAGAAATAGTAACAGGGGAATTCATTTCCCACTTAGTATTCCAAACAAATCTATACGCAGAACAAATAAAAACGTCATCAGGCAAAAACTATATTCCTACGAGTACCAAGGAAATGAATACCTTTTTAGGAATCAATTTGCTTATGGGCATCAAACATAGTCCCAGCTATAAAGACTACTGGTCAAGTGCACCTGATCTAAATGACGCATTCATCTGTGGTCTTATGAGCCTGAAACGATTCAGTTGGCTACTGTCACATTTGCATGTGAATGACAACTCTATCATGCCAGGACGGTCATCCCCCAATTTTGACAAACTTTTCAAATTACGTCCCATGCTAGATGTTTTATCAGCTAATTTCGAAAAATGTTTGTTCCCCAATCAAAGAATAGCTGCTGACGAATCAATGATAAAATTCAAGGGACGTAGCAGCTTGAAGCAATATATGCCAAAAAAACCCATAAAACGTGGTTACAAAATGTGGATGCTTGCTGATAAATCTGGATACTGCTTGAAATTCGATCTATATACAGGCAAAACCGATGCCCAGGAAAAAAGTCTTGGTTCTCGCGTTATCAATCATCTCACATCTCATCTACGTGGAAAGGATCACATTCTTTACTTCGATAATTTTTTCAATAGCGTTCCATTGATGGAGGAACTGAAAAGACATAATATTCATGCAGTTGGTACAGTGAATATGTCACGTCGTTATCTACCTTCATTCAAGCCAGACAGAACTATGAACTGTGGGGAATATCAATGGTTCACAAGCAATACAGGACTAGCAGCCATAAAGTGGAAAGATAAAAGAACCGTGCACATGATCACCAACTTTCATGATCCAGAAAGTGTGAGTGAAGTAAAACGCAAAGAAAAAAATGGCAACACAACTAAAGTCCCATGTCCTGAGGCAGTCATAGATTATAATCAAAATATGAATTACGTTGACAAATTCGATCAGCTCTTATCTAGCTACAAAATTGACAGGCGTAGTAGGAAATGGTGGCATAGAATTTTTTTTTACTTGCTTGACGCTGCAGTTGTGAATGCATATTGTATTTACAAATTACTAGATTTACCAAAACTTACTGCCAAAGACTTTCGACGTGCTGTGATAAATGGTTTTTTGGCAGAGCAGATGGTTTGTAAAAAAAGACAGTCAACAAGTATGCTGTTGGAACCTAAAGAAATTAAAAAATCGAAACCTTTTACCCCTGTCGAAATTCGCCTAAATTCGTCAGCGCATCAACCAGAACGTAGCTCCAGAAGGAGGTGTGCTTTGTGCAGCACGAAAGTGAAGCAAGTACGTACAGACTGGATTTGTTCGGTTTGCAAAGTACCATTGTGTTTGTCGAAGAATAAGTCATGTTTCCAGACATACCATACGACCTGATAACATTTTAAATAATTAAAATTAAAAATAATATAGCATATAGATTTTGTCCCTTATGTGTTGGTGGTACATTTTAGATACCACCCTATTACACAGAAAAAAATGACTTTATTTTTCAGAAAATGAGTTCTGTTATGTTTATTATACATATTCAACACAATAAGATCATCAGATGTAAAAAAATTGAATAAAATTTTTGTTGCTCCACTTGGCGATTTAATTTGCTGGATATTCTGCTCCTCAAAGAGTTAACCGACTTCGTATCTCTCACCGTTAAAAAGATACCCATGGTGAGCATGGTAAGT